TGGAGAGAGAGGCTAGATGGACCGCATATAGACTTGTGTGCATTGCCAATTGCACAAATCAATTAAATGAAGAGTGCAACAGACTGTTGGTTAACACTGGAAGTTACAGCATTCTGGGAATGACCTCTGACTTGTGCCTCCAACTGTTCCTGAGTAGAAAGGACTGAATCCTCCGGGAGGATTGGATAAATTGGATAAATCCAACCTCACTCACAAGTCAATAAAAATATTATCGAACAGTCCAAGGAGCGTTGGAATCTCTAGGTTCCTACCCAGCAACATTTGATTTGGTAGCAAATTGCCAAAAACGACTCTCCTCGATAGGAAGACGTAACAGATTGTCCCTGGTCTGGATTCTTGGCCATAGTGGCCTGGAAGGCAATAATACTGCTGACTCCCTTGCAAAGGACGGTGCTGCAAGCAGCTTCATTGGACCAGAACCTGTCATTGGCATCACCTTCGAAACGTCAGAAAGCGAAACGTCAGGAAGAAATTTCAAAGATCACGGCCTGCAGACCCAAAAAATAATGATAATATATTCAAAATTAATCATAGATCAGAGTAATGAAAGCGGTTGTGATATTAAGAATATTACAAATTACTTTAATACTGACGTAATAAAGTCCTATTGTTCAATATGTTGTTCTTCATTTCTAACAGTTACTAATTTCCACGATAAAGAATATCCATTTGAAAAAGTGGGTAGAGAAACTATCTTCAATTTCCTCGCATTGAATTCATCATCTGGAAACAACCCTTCCACTCGAACTCGTGGATTATCCGAGTGAGCCGTTGTATTACAACGAGTTATCCAAATTCGCTTTGGGATAAACTTTGAACAAACGAAAACCGGCCAAGTGGAATAGAGTTGTTAACTTAAACAAATTAATTAATAATTGTTGTACGATAATAATGTTAATTCTCGAAGCATCACGAAAGTTCTATGCGAGATGCAAATATTCTGTATTTGGGAGAACAATATTGAATTAGCGAATTAGAAGGTAGTGTTGTGATCCTGTGTAACGTCGAATGAGTTTGATTTTCTGTGGGCAAGGATTTGTATTCAATTTTGTTTTTGCTAAATCGGTCAAACATACAGGCCGATTGAGTTGATGAAAACTTCAAGTGAATAAAGTTTTTGGCTTTCTACTTTTCCATCTCTATACAAAAAAGTGGGAAACTTCCGAAGAAAGGAAGACAGCAGTTATTTTCGAAATGACACTACAAAAATTGTAGATCATGCAAAGAAGTTACTTTCAGACGCAAACTGGAAGAAAATCCCTCTCGAAACAATAACTTTCATATTGTTAACGTTTTCCCTGTGGGTTTGACGATAATTGACCACAAGGTACAATTAAACTCGACTTTATTTCACTGCTACACTGACTATACAACACAATTACTTTAAATGAAACTTCTGACTAATATTCAAGTGTCTATCGCCTTCGTACCGCACTTTCAACTAGACTTCCCCGATCTGCCTGTTGGTAATGTTTATATATCCTAATGGAAGTATCTGGAAGCCGGTAGGGAAGTTCCTGGAAGTGTCTTGAAGTGACGCGACACCTACAACCATCAAGAAACGCAAGTTGATTTGAGCGAGACCTGCGAGAATCGGTTGACAAAGACCAGCGGCGCCCGGCGTTATTTTTTTTCAGGGAGGGAATAATTCAAACACTATATATTTCTCAATGAAACTATCAAAAAATGAGGACACAATGATAAGAGACATCGATTTTTGTTATATTCGAGGAATGAAATTATCTCGTACTGCCAGAGAAGCATGCTATTTCAGATAGCCGGGTTTTAATAAAACGGTTTTCATTACGTTCGAAACACTCAAATGTAATAAAATATTCTCAAAGTTAAGCGCACAGAACGCCAACATCTATTATATGGCCGAGCTAAATTGGATATAAATATTTAATTTAATTACAGAAAAGTGTGTGTACTCTTCATTTGGTATGACTTGATTTCGTTAAATTTTTCATTTTAGTTTCGAATAAACGACGTACGAAAAAATAACGTTTTGAGAGATGAGTCGGTAGTTGAAACAGAGGGAAGCCTGACGACTTTTCTGGATGGATTTTCTTTAAACCACCATCATTTCATTGGTACCTGTATTTTCATGAGAGTATCAAGAAGACTTCACCTTCGTATAGAAATTTCGCCATCACATACTGGTTCTTGATTTTTTTTGCGGGGAATCACCCCTTTTATATTAGTCAGAGCATGAAATATATTAATAGGGAATAAATAAAGAATAGACTAAAAATGTAAAAGTAGACTCGAAGTAAACTCAAGCACGTGAAAATTGGTAAAAGATAAACAGAAGTCTGGATTATACAATTCAAAATACAGAAATAAATGGCGAGAATAGTATAAAGTATGAATATAAGTAATTAGTGAATATATTAAGAATTGAAACAAATAAGTAACTGTTTATCGCACAGAAAAATCTCTCCACTTGCTTTACTAATACAGAAATAAATGGCGAGAATAGTATAAAGTATGAAAATAAGTAATTAGTGAATATATTGAGAATTGAAACAAATAAGTAACTGTTTATCGCACAGAAAAATCTCTCCACTTGCTTTACTAATACAGATTTTTAAACAGATGTTCACTACACGAGTTCGTCGATGTTATTGCCCCACTCCGCTGATCTACTATGCATACAATATTCAGAAGCACGCGTCTTAAATTAAATGTATTTTGATGGTTCTATGCTTATTATCATGGATAGCATTTCCTATTAGTTTCACAGTTTATGATCATAATTGTTGCGGAATGAACCGAAGGAAAAACAAAAGTTCAAGGAAAATTTGGGTGAAAAAATATTACTCTCATACTCATATAATATATAAGGGATAAAATGTAGTCTTTTTGCAACTACACGATCCATCCGTTTGCCGCTGATGAGATATATGAAGAACCGAAACGCTGTTGTTTCATCTAGTCTCTTCCAAATTAATTGCCTTCGTTTGAATCGCAACAAACAGAGCCGGACTTTCGTCGTCGGTTTTCATTAATAAAACGCGATCGTTCTAATTTCGATTGGCGTGACACGTCCGCACAATGAGCAACATCATCAGGAAGTATATATGCGTTTCGAGGGATTTTGGGGATTATAATCAAATTTTAATAGAGAGCGGAGAGAGAATCCCCGGTCGACAGTTTCGCAAATGGTGTGTGACAATTACGATATTGTCATTGATGTACCGATAATTGTGATATGCGTAGTTGGCTCGTACAGGAAATTCGATAATTTTACTAATTGTTCGGCAGATGCTCTGCCGTGATTAATGATTATGTTCTAGTTGATAAAATTCAGACTCTTGGGGATTGTCGTTGGTTTTGTCAGAACGCCTCGATTAATTACAAACAGTTTGATGCAATTTAATGCGAAATCTATACAGATTAGGCGTATTTAGAGTTTGGAGTTGGAGTTTTGAAAATTATCACTTTTTTCCAACCGTATCACCTCGACGTTCAAGTTCTAGAATTTAGAAAGGTTTGTTGGGTAACATTAGTTGGTTTAAGCCGATTTCGTACTCCCCCCCCCCTTCCACTTTTAAACTTGAAATGACCTCTACATACGTCGCATTACGTAGCCAAGCCCGCGCACTGATTAAACAAATAACATTGATGTGTCAAAGCTATTTTTCCTTTTTTTTCCGTGGTCTGCAGGTTTTTATGCATGACGTTTCATCTACTACTGCGGTAGACATTATCAAAAGTGCTCGAGTTATCCTCAACGCAGACGCTTTCATCATTGGTGGGCCTGGCTTCATTTATCTTAATTGGATTAAATGAACTTGTTTGTGTATAATTATTTCTATTACCTCTATATATTCTTGGATAGTAATTAATAGACTATTTTACAAGAATATAACTATTTTTCTGTATGTATAATATATTTATATCTCTATTTCATTGTTTATATCCGCATATTACTGCTTTGTATGTAAAGAAATACATGGTGATTCTGTTTATATTTAGCCTCATGAAAGGATATATCTATTTTCTTTCATACATATTGTATACCTTTTTCTAGTGAATAAATTTTTATCATTATACAAATGAGCAAAGTATTTTATATAAACAGGTAGACAAATTGAAATGAATTATAAACTTCGATATTTGAAATAAGAAGATATATGGTTTTAATTACTTTTGTGCGTCAGATTTCTTCCAAATTGAAATGTATAAAAATACAACTTTTTTTCAGTTTTTTCTCGATCAACTTTTAAAATTCTATGTACCAGAATATTCTTACACGCCGTCCATTTTATTTCACCGTTACTACTTCATACTTTTCAGAAATGTCATTCCTTTTTCCATTTCATTTTCTTTGTTATTACAACGTCAACATACAAACAAATCTAACCGTATGAATATTTGAATAAAATCCTTATTTACTTCCCGGTTATCCAATTTCACGTATGGAAACCCGGATTGTGAGATGATTTTATTTTTAATTGCCGACGGGAATACAGTAGTACTGTATGTATCTCGATCAAATGTAATCTTGAAAGAGGAGTTTTAACAATCGATGTTACTAAAACCAACAATTTTCATCGAAACTTATCAAACCGTAGTCTCTTTGGAAAGAGATAGAACCAAAGTCATTGAGTCGTGTAGAAACCTACTTTAGGCGATGAAATAATTTAGTGACATGAAATTTTAACTAGAAAATGTCAGTTTGAAGGTGGTTGATAGAAAATGGGGGGTAAAAAATGTCGTTTTAAAATGGTTCTAATTGAATGGGACGCCTGGGATAAAGATCTTGCAGTCTGTTGAGAAAAAGACAAAAGATGGATTAAATTAGACGGGAAAAGATTTAGGTTGTTGATTAACCTTGCAATATCATTCGCTGAAACAGAATTAAATACTAAGTACTCTTCGTAAATGTTTATTCAGAAGATATCAATATGCTTTTACATTTTCCTGACCAAAAAAATTATATCTATTGATAAATCTTATTGTCTTTGTTTCAGAAAAGACAATTCAAGGTACCTGCATCGTTTGCCAGGCCCAGCTCAGCCCCAAACTCCATTCCAGGCCCTTGGTTCCGAGCCAGGCATCTCTATACGGTTTGCGAGAGGACCAAATACCGCCAAATTCACGGGTGTGTAACACTTGTCGATGCAAATCAGTACGATCGCGATACACCCATTGCCCTCTACCTTCGTGTCCCAACTCGCGAGGTCGCGTGAAGAGATTGAGGTCCTTTCCATACAGACTGCAGGATTTGCCCTCCGATGCTCGGGAGCCGCTGCTAGCAGAATTTCGTATTCCCAGTGGGGTAACAAAGTGCTGCTCGGCGTGCTTCAACAGAATCCAGCGTCGATTAGGTCCCGTGGAAGAGTGGCCGGAAGAAGAATTCAATAAACTCAAAACCGCCCTCAGCGAGCTCGGCTCGAACTGGCAACTCATAGGCGAGAGGTTGAACAAACCGCCGCAGAAAGTGAAAATGTTTTGTGCTGCTAATCGGAAGAGGCTCAAGGGTTGCTTGGGGGAAGATCGCAAACCGACCCTATCCACCGATGAAGAAAGCGGCTCGAGCACTTCGAGCTGCGAGGAATCGTTGATAGACGGAGATCGTCACTCCAGCGACACGGCCAGTGCTGCGGAGAGTCCTCCGGTGCAGGGTGCGAACGATAACGCGACAAAGAGGGTGGATTACGACTCGAGCGCCACCGAAACGGCGGATGAAGCGCAGACTCCGGATCATTATCAAGGATCCGCCACGATAACACCCGTCATCGCTGACGGTCAGCCTAGACAAAATACGTCGCCTCTCAGCGTCAAGGATCTCGTGTTGAATGTGATAGAGTTATCTCTGATGAAAAATTCAGGAGGGCAACAGCAGATTCAGAATCCTCCCACCAGCGGTATAACTCCCACGATTTCTTCGATATTGAATAACGATTCTAACGAGGTTACTATAGTGAGCGAATATAGTCTCAACAGCATGAACAATCAGCAAAGGCAGCAGCAACAGTCTCAACAACAACGCTCCGACCTTAACTTGGCGAAACTAGTTACACCTTTGATCGGAGCGACTATAACGCCGGTTTCGGGGCCGATACAGTCACAGCCTCCGCCGGAGCCTGTGCCGTCATCTCGCGATGACTTGATTGTCCTGCAAGTGCCCGATGGTAGAGAACCGGAGACTTTGGACCTTAGTTTGAAAAAACCCAGAGAACCACCTCCGCCACCGCATAGTAAACATCAACCTCAGCAGCAGCAACAGTCTCAACTCCACCGATCTGATCCTTTCATGTATCACCAGGAAAGGAAGAGTCCTCTCTTCTCGGTAAGAACGCAGCCGAAATTGCCCAGTCCTAAACCTGCGAATCCGAAATCTGGCTCAATTACTTTAGGCACCCCCATTATGTCCCAACCCAGGTACGAAATATTGAGGCAGATACCGGAAGCTAAAATGGGGTCGATTACTCAAGGTACTCCAGTAATACCTCATAACATGCAAGACAAAAGGGTTTATGATTATTTCACTAAGAGAGGACCGATGCCGACTCAACAAGGGCAGACGCAGCAGATGCAATATCCACCCCAGCGATACGGACAACAACCGGCTTATACCGTCGAGCAGCAGCTCAGCTCTAGGCAAATAATCATCAATGATTATATAACTTCGCAGCAGATGTTGGGTAGAAGAAACGAAAAACCTCAGTATTATCCCGCCAGCTCCCCTCACCGGACTCCGCCGCCACAGCAGGGGCAACAGCAGAGACAAGGCGTCATTCAGAGACACACAAGACCCCAGTATCTTCAACCTGGACACGAAGCTTTATCATCGCTGGTCGATGTTGCTGTTCAACAACCCTCTTTGCCGGTTCCAAGTGCTCCACATGAGGGTCTCGGTAAAACAATGGCAGATAATATAATGGAACAACCTCATCGATATCAGATTATTCAGCAGCACCAACAGCAACAGATGAGGCAACAGCAGCAACGCATTGATGAGCAGCGGAGGGCGGCTTTTCACCAACAACAAGTTCAACATCAGCAACAACAGCAGCAGCATCAACAGCAGCAACACCAACAGCAGCAACACCAGCAACAGCAACACCAGCAACAGCAACACCAGCAGCAGCAGCAACAGGTACAACAACAACAGGTGAGGCAACAACCTCGAACTGACAATAGTACACTGACTGCTGCTAGCTTGATCGATGCTATTATAACACATCAGATAAATCAGACTGCTGAAGGGGGAAGGGAGGTTGTGCAGAATACTAGAGAACAAAGGGCTGGTGATTTGCTGTTTCAGAAATTCCACAGAGGAGGTGATCCACCTCCTCAGCAAGGTCAAGATAATGGGGAACGGCCACCCTCTGTTATAAGTGTCGATCTTGATGGTGATTCCGTTAACAAGAACCTCACCGTGAAAGAACTAACCGATTCAGTGATCAGTCACGATTTCAGTTCAAGGCAAACTAATTATTATCACTTGCAAGAAAATATGAATGAACAGTGGAAGAGAAGAATTCAACAACAGCAACATAACGAAGATAAACGTTCTCAGACACCTCTGCAAGATGAAAGACAAATTATTCGCATAGCTCAGCCTCAGAAATATCATATTGAGAGGGTGGAACCCGTTTCACCACCAGAAAATAGTCACTGGACCGAACAAACTTATAGGAGGTATCCCCAGAATCAACCACACATGTCTCCTCTAGACTATGTGAAAAACAGAATTGTTGAAGTTATGAGAACTGAGGATGATAAAAAAGACTCTCAAGATTGTTCTCATCCTCAGGACAAGGATCGTAGCGACAGTCCTGGAGACATGGTGATAGATGAAGAAAAGCACGAAAATGATTTTGGGCAGCAGCAGCAGCAGCAACCTACCTCCCAGCAGCAAAGTGGATTTTATTCGTTTGTCCACAAAGATAGCACTGCCAGTGATAATTCGAGAAATAATGAGCCCAAACCTCTCCTCAGTGCTCAATATGAGCCATTGTCTGACGAAGATTAACAGTTGAAGATTTCTGTGTTTTAGACTGTTGAAAAAAAGATTCTTCATGTATGTAAATAGTAAGTGATAAGTGATATCTTAGGTTAGGTTTAATGTTAATCAAACATGAATTTGGCCCACATTTGACAATTGTTTTTATTTCTTTTTTCCTTTGAAGTGTGTTTCTACTTAAATGTTTTTCAACTGTAACTGGCTGTTGTGTTTTGTCAAGAATCTTGGGTTTGGGTTTTAAAAATTTAATTAAATAAATTTGCTATCATATTTTCGGGATAACTTTTGAATGAAAATTGTTCGATATTCTCTTGAGAGGGTCTGAATGTAGCGTCCAACTTTTAGTTATATTATATTGATTGTAATATGTAGATATATATATTTTCGTCATATTTGACGGCCACCCGCTTTCCTTGTACTTTTATTTACCCACTAACTATACTGACTAGTAAGAAATGTATATATTATATGAACATAAAAAATCCTAAGTGTAAGTCGATATAGATTTAGTATATGAAGATATTGCATAACAACTGAAATTTTGATTGGTTTTTATGCAATTAGGTGTCCAGTTTTTTGCATTTCCAATGTTTGTCAGTTATTTTTTTATTTTTTTAAGAAAACAGTCTGTGAAATATGACATTTTAAAATTTGCGTGAGTGCAATTATATTTTCTTCACTAATATTTTTTAAAGGTGTATATTTCTTTCTGTTATGTGTACATGTTTGTTTTAATTTTAATACATTTTGGGAATGTAAATAACTAATATGAGTATAAATATTTATAGAAAAATTGAGGGATCCCAGTGTAAATACTTGTGAATTTTTTTAATTTTTATGTTTCACAATGTAATTTAGTCCTTACGCTTTTGGCGTCTAAGAATTAGACGAACTGATAATTTTTCTACACTATAAAACAAATGCTTCCAGAATGTGTACACTGTCAATTTTTTTAGTTGGTAATTTTCAGATGATGACTTGTTATTTTGTTGAAATAAATGAATATCAGTTGGAAGTTTCGTCATTAATTTCCTTACCAAAATCATGTAATAAACGAATGTTTCTCAAAATTTGTTTCATTTCTGTTATTTTTTGGGAAAGTTTTTGGCTTTCTACTACTCCATCTTGATGAGGATGAGGGAGTCTTCCAAAGAAAGGAAGGAAGTAACTCTATACATGGATGTGTAGATCATGCAAAGAAGTAACTTTCAGACACAAACTGAAAGAAAGTTCTCCCGAAACAGCTACAAAGAAGTTACTTCGTTCCTTTCTTTGGAAGACTCCCTTACTCTTTTTTTTTTTAATTTTTTTTTGTATCAAGATGGAATAATAGAAAGCCAAAAACTTTCTTTCCCAAAAATTATTCACTCCTAAAAAATATAACCCCTTCAATTCTGTTATTTATTTTGATAGTATGTACACTCTCTGTGTTCGTCAAATTCAATTTTCTCCTCTTCAAAGTAGTCATCCTCAGATACAATATACTTGTGCCAGTTCTTTTGTCAATCCTCTGAGCAGTTTTGATATGCACTTTTTGGTATGTCTCACTGTCAGAATTTCATACTAATTGCAATATTACGATAAAAATAAAAACAATAAAAATTAATTGGCGCTCCAGGGCGCATTTGCTTTCTCAGCTGCAGGAAAACCCGGAAAAACCTGCAGCACCACATCATCTGAAGATCTTGATCTAACAATGTCCTCTCTCTCATAAAACAAAATGTAGGGTGTCTCCAGAGGCTCCAATAAATTCAATGCATCGCCAGAACACTTCGTGACACGACTATCGTCAAACTTAAACCAGTCCGTTTCGTCTTTGACCAAGGCGTAATAATGACCAAATTCAACGCCAGAACCGCAGTGAACAATGACTATTGTTCTATTTCGAACATTCCGTCAGAGGTTGAGTCATGTTTGAAGATCATCAGTGTTATTATTAGATTGACTGGTGCCTCAGCTATACTTGTTTCCTTATAACAGTCAGTTAGTTTGGCGCATGTTTGGCAATACAGTCGATCATTGCCTGTTGAAAATTTCATTTTCATATGATTTAACAATAAACTTTGCACAGACTGGTTATTAGTCATATTAGGAAACGCTAGATGAAGATCCAGAAATTCACAAAAGTTTTCACTACCTCTTGAACATTTACTGCAAAGTGAACAAGTGAGGATTTTTCCAGCAAAAGATTTACAAACGCAAGACGGGATGGACTATATGGAATCATTCAATCCAGAGCGGTCAGGAGTATTGATTTTGCTATTGTTTTGCTCACGAGGAGTATTCATCAAGAACCCCAAGAATTCGGAACAATCCTCTTGTTGTCCTAACGAGTATCTAGTGGTCTTCAAAGACTCCAGGAAATCGGTTGGAGGGAAAGATAACTTCTTACGAAATTGCAGCTGCATGAACAGGTGTTTGAGTTTGATGAATAAGTAGGGAACATTCCCGTTCTCGTTCATCATTAAAACCTCGTTCTTGAAATTCTTCGTCATGAACAACACTTGTAAAATGCTATTCATGTAGCAATTATCTAATCCAATTTTCTTCTCTAGATTTTCAGGACAACTCTCTACTGATTCGTAAGGAAGAACATGTTTGACATTTGGCAAATGATCCATATACACAAAGAAGAAGAGCGGGCCCAGTATTGAGCCTTGAGGTACGCCAGTCTTTATGTTCGTTTTTTTTTTTAGAGGGTGTTGTTGTTCAGTATCACTATTTTCCGGGTTTTAAGGCCGTGGATTTTCGGAATTTCTTCCCGGAGTTTCGCTAGCCTTAGTGGCTAGCTTCCTCATAGGTTCAGACACCCTGAGTTAATATCTTTGATGACTGGATATTACGGCTGCGTAACGCGTAATTATGTTGACTCCTCAGGTAGTTTGGTGTGCTTATACCTGTACCTGTCTTAGGTAAAGTATGTGAAGCATGTTTATGTTGATTCAGGTTGTCTGGTGTGAGAAAACCTTTACCTGGATTTGGTAAATTGTCAGTAACGCTGTCATTCCGTAGTGATGAAGTTTCTATTACAGTATTTCATGATTCACACAGCCGAACTGTCTTTGATTAAATCACGAAATACTGCCGCCATCATCCCATCATTATTCAAATCAGTGTAAACTTTGTTAGGAATGAGAAAATGACATCATTGGTATTTTTGCTGCCTTGAAAGCCAAACTGATTGCTCACAAAAATGTTGTGCTTTTCAAAACATTCGGCCATTCTAACTTTCACTAATTTATATATTATTTTAGGATTTCAAAAAAATTCACAAGGAGTTCAGAACTGGAACGAGAAACGGTGTTTATTTCTACAACATGTATATATTACAGACGAAATGGTAAATTTTAGGTACAATGACTTTATAAAAATTAAATACAATTTAAGTAATACAGCCCTATTCAAACTATATGTTACATCGAATAATTACATGAAAGAAGCTTATTTACAATTACAAAAACAAAAAAAAATAACAGTTTGGAAATATCTAAGCTTTAATAAGTAACAATATGCGATTGGGGCAAATTTTTATTGCCTGAAGTGCATTTCTGAAGCGAAATTTTTGGAGCTATAGTATCAGATATTCATTATTTTATATAAGATGATAATTTATCAACACAAATGACCAGAAATCGTCATTTATAAAAAATCTTATGCAATCAAATGAGCACCCATTACTTAGTTCATAAATACCTTCCCTCGACGAAGCTGTATCATTAATTATAAAATGAAAATATGCTCAGTACCAATTGAACGAATCATTTTTCCTCCACTACATTTTAATTCTGTTTCAAAATAGTTTGTGATATAAAGGTTAATTGATATTTAAACTGTCCAACTACACTTTCTTTCCTTCACTTCCAACAAGAGAACAACCAATTAAATTTTCAAAAAGTATCGTTCAGTCTTATCAAAAAATCAACAGTTCTGGATTATCTTGGTCCTCCATATTTGAGAATTGATACTTGAGCTGCTTATCACCCGCATGTTGTTTGTCAATAACGATAACTATAAACTTTTTGCTATTTTCAAACGTACTCCACCATCGCGTTTTCAGTATCACCAGTTTCTTGTCTACAGAAAGTCAATGATATGCTCCTGCAGATATTCAGCGCTACTCAGGTATACGAAGGCTCTTTCCCCAGGTTGCCAGTTGTACTGGAACGAACGGAGTTGGATAATCTGTAAATAAACTATTTTAGACTTATTGTTCAAAAACAGAAAAGTATGCGTTTTTTCACGTATTTTATTGATGACGCATGTGTATTTTTCCGTCGACCGTAGTTGCGGATATTTAGATAATTTGACTGACTTGACAGATTTGACTGAGACTGACTTGACTGACTGCCGAACTGACTGACTGACTCACTACTGACTGACCAACCGACTGACTCGCTGATTCACTAATGAATGACTCATTGACCGAATGACTCACTGACCGAATCACTAACTCGCTGACCCACTCGCTAACTGACTGACTGACTGAGAAGAGAATCGCACAGCTGCTTGCGCATGGCGACCCGTGGCTACGGCATGCCATCAATTGGTTTTACGTGCAGCTTTAGATGTTTCACATCAAAATGTTTCCAAGTGAAACAAGAATAAATAAAAAAAAAATATAACTTCAAAAAAGGTCCTACCTCCTAACATCATTTGATATGGATGCCTTCTCGATTTTCGGAGATCCCATTTTGTGGTTGGACAAGAAGGTATTCACAGAGTCGTCCGAGCTGTAGGTTTCTTGTTCACTGAAAAAATATCAATTTTACATATTCCACATTCACAGCGCACCAAAATTGCTCCTACCTGTCGGAATTGTCTGAAATAGTGTCCTCCATATCGCCCTGGATGGCAGACTGTAGATCTTCGATCCTCTTCAAGGCGAGTCTCAAGTCAGTCCTTGCTGTTACGCCTTCAGCTTCCAAAGCTTCACATCTCTTTTCCAATTCCTTTTTCTTCATAATCACTTCAGATTCTTTGACTAAGCTCTTGTTCAACTCCTCTTTGACTTCCCTGAAAAAGTTTGCCACAATGAGTCAAAAAATAAGAGAAACTGAAGGTTTTACTCACCTCAGTTGTCTCTGAAGTTTCCTTATTTGATCCTGGGCTTGCTGCTCCTTCACTTTCGAGCTGGCCACGTCGTTTTGTAACTTCTCTACAGTTTCCTTCAATCTATTTATTTGCACCTCTAATCTTGACCTCGTCGTCTGTTCTAATTCTAGTTTTGATTCCAATTCTTTTACTTTCAGTTCTGACCTAATGATGAACATTGACAATCAGAACGATATTCACTTCAAAATTCCACATCTAAGATAGAAACTTACCTCTTGACTAGCAAATTCGATGAAGATTCACCCATGCTCTCCACATTTTCCAACCTAGAAGTAAGCTCGGCCAGTTGCTCCTTCAGTTGATTCCTTTCGACTTCAAGTTCGGATACCAATGACACTTGCTCCTGTAGCGCCATCTGATCTAGAGACATCTGCTGAACGGTACCTTTGAACTTCTTCAAAACCTCCGCCAGTTCCTCTTCGTTTTCTTCCAGCTGCAACTGCAGATCGGATTTTTCTCTCAAAAGGGCGTTGGCCCTTTCTTCGGAGTCTTGTTTTTGTTTGTGTGCTTCTTCTAACAACGACTGGGTCTCCAACAGTTCAGTCTCTAAACTCTGTTTAGTCTTGACTGCCATTGCTCTTGCACATTCTAGATCTTCCAGCTGGTTCCTAAGCTGTCGAATTGTTGCTTTACCTAGAGAATAAAAACATTCTTCATAGACTTTTGTTTACAGTTCCGTGCATAAAAATTGAAAATCTTTTTGAATCGTCACTCAAATAATTTCTTTTACTTCTGTTTCAGTAGCTATTTCGTCTGTTAGGCATTTTTTGTAAAACTGGACAATGTCCATTGAGACGGCACCTGAACCAAATAGGGCTGTACAACGGAGACAACTGCAGGTAATGCAGTAAAGGAACAAATACAGATCGTCATATTTTATGTGAATTTGATGCATTGGATCACAGGAGGATCACCCAAATATGACATGAATATGACATAAATATGAATATGACATGAATTCAATAAGGGATATGTTCAAACTAGTATAGAGCAAAAGATTTTTGAAATGAAACATGCTACTTAAGAGAACTGAAAAATTAGAGATGTTACATTTGGGATAAGAAAATCCTCCAAAATACCCATTAAAATGATAAGGCTCCTTCAAACAGCTTTAGCAATATATGAAGAAGATTTGAGGCAGAAGGCCTGAATATTATTCTATTATGGATGATCTGGATTATTGATAGGAAAATCACATTAGCCAATGCCAAATCGAGTAAGATCCTCAATATTTTCTTTCAAAAAAATTAGGGATTTTCAAACATGCGTCAATTTGCTTACCAGCCTGAAAAGTGAACATATTTGGCACTATTGGATAATGTTGACAGGTTATCCTTGAAGTGAATTTAATACAAACATTTCTGGAGGACAAAGAAACAAGTTCGCCAACTTTGCACAAAGTATAAAATATTCTAATTTCATTTACTGTAATGAAAAAACTTTTTTGAAACTTTCAGTTAATTTTTCATATCGCCAATTCTGAATTTATAAATAAAGCAGAATCATTTGCCTTGAAGTTTTCAATATTCTCATCCACTATATGAAAGTTCTGAATAACAATAAATTTTCTTTCAGATATTCATCGGAAATTTTTTCCACACCCTTCAAATCCTTGCCTTTTAGCATTGTTTACATTTTTTATGATTTGGTTGGATTCTTACCTGGGGTTTCAGCCTTCTGTCTTTCAAGTTGGGTCTGGGTATCTCTGAGCAAGGCTTTCGTCCTCTTCAGGTCTCTCTTCAGTCTCTGCAGAAGAGCTTCATCTCCTGCTCGATCGTGCCTTTCAGATTCGACAGCTGCTGCCAATCTTCTTTCTAATTCGTGCTTCTCTCGCAACAATAACGTTCTTTCTTCGTGTTCGTTCTCCAATTGTTGTTCAAGAGCTGAAAAATAGTAATTTTTTAAATATAGGTGAACAACGTATTCAAAAAACACTTGGAATGTGAGATTTACACTTGACAGCTGACAGATGTCATACTTGACAGCCGACAGGTGTCATACTTGAGAGCTGTCACTCTTGACTGTGTGACATCTGTCACACTTGACAGCTGACAGCTGGAAATCTGACATTAAAGGGTTTTTTGGATTTTGTTACAATGGATTTTCATCAAGTCTTGTTCTATTATATGTTTAAACGATAACGAGCCATTCCTTAAGCATCTATGAGAATAAAAATTTTGAATGCCAATATGAAACCAGCATTCCTTTCGCAGCAGAAGTGTATATCCTTTTATTATCCTCGATAAAATATTCAGCAGAAACCCTCAGTTTGGAAAAGTTCTACACAATATATTGATTGTCAGACCAATGATTGTATGTTGCAATAGCAACGGAGGGTCGACTAGATCCACTCACTTCGAACTTAATCTATGCTAACATAATAAAACGAGCGACTTCCCTACCTTTGACTTTCTTCTGAGCGTTACATCTGGCTTCTTCCAATTCTTCGTCTCTCATCTGTGCTTCTTTCTTCGCCTCCTTCCTCATGGATTCGAGCGTCATCTCCAGCCGGAGTTTCGCTTGCTCGAGAAGTTGTACTTGTCCGGCAAGTTCGTCCAATTCTTCTTCTTGATCTTGAAGGCGGCGTTCGCAATCGATCTTTTGTTTCCTCAATGTCGTCACCTCTTCTTCGGTCTTACCGCCGCACGTTATTTCGTCGAATTCTCGCTGCAGGGCCAGCAGTCTTTCCTCTTTCATTTCGAGTTCGAGCCTTGTATCCTTCATTAAAACAGATTATGCAATGAATTGATGTATTGAGACGATAAGTTTACAGTGTTTAGGGATGAGGGATGGTATGAGAGGAATTAACTGGAATTTATAGTTTTTTAACTGTCAGAAAAAGTCATTTTAACAAATATGTCAGTGAAACCGATATTTTAATCAAACCAACTGTCAATGTAAGATGTCCAGACATCCATTGTCTGAAAGGAAGTAGAAGAAGATTTGAAATATATGAGAAGAAAAACAAAAAAAAAACAACAAATAGAATGAAATATTTAGTGTTCTGAAATATTATTTTTGACCTGTTCATTTTGTATAATTATCAAATATGTCCAATTTATAGTGGTCAATTTAATACTATCGAATAATAACCGTCCGTGCTGATCGCGCAGTGCAAACAAGGCCTTAGACTTAGTAATACTCACCGCTAGCGTACTTTCCACCGAATATTTCTCCGCTAAGCAAACTTCCTTTTCTCTCGCGAACCGCTCCTTTGTCTGCCGTTCTTTCTTCAGTTCGTCGTGCAACATCTGCGTCTCCGAATCGAACTTTCTCTGCTTCTTCTCCAGCAGATTGTTCCTGGCGTTTTGTTCCTCCAACAAGAGACGCAGGTCGTTCATTTCGCCGTTCAATTTTTGTACTTTCCTCTTCCACTGACCGACGACTTGCCGCTGTTCCTCGACTTCTTCGTACGCGTCTGCTAACTGAAAGTTGATAATAAATAGATGAGTTGAAGGTTCATATTTGCAGTGGAATAATTTAATTGGCTGGATGAATAGTTTGGACACCTTGTTGCATAGGGTATACCGTAGGAATGTGAAGAACATACATAGCAGGACCACCTCTACTTACCAGCCTAAAAGATTAGAAAAATGTAGTACCCACCTTCTTCTCCAACTGCTTCTTCAGCCCGATGAGCTGCTCCAAATCGTCCTCATGCTGCTGTTGCAGCCTCCTCTTAGTGAACTCTAATTCTTTGACGGCTCTTTCGTACCTCTGTTTGTACACTCCTCCGTCACCGTCGCCATCTTCGTCTTCTTCGCAGATGCCATTGAGGTCTGATCTAGCATAAAGCAGCTCCATCTCCAGCCGTTCCGACGACTGCTGCAGCTGCTTGTTCTTGAGCTGCACGTCGGTGAGTTCTTTTTCGAGCTTGAGACGTTCCGACGTTTCGGCGTCGAGCCGCTCCGCCGCCAGAGTGGCCGTGGAATGCTCTTCCGCCAGATCGGCAGTCATCTCGCTGAGCTGCAACCAAAGAAATAACAATAAGAACATACTCGATGGTGTCAGTTTAACAATGGTGTATGATGATTTGTTTAACTTTTACATTTGGGGAGCAACTTCAATAAACAATGTTATCCCTTTGATTTTTAGTATGACTATACATGATTTGGGTAGTTTCAGGACTTACAAGAGTACATTAAAAACTATTTTTAAACCCTAATAGTTAAGTTTTTTGGAGTTTTGTGGTTTTTCAACGTTTTACACATTCTTTGAATACGAACTATGTAAACAAAAAACAACATTGAAATTTATGAAAACAAACATTACTCCTTCAACATGTTGATAAACAATAACACCAACACATTACTCTATACTTATCATAATTCTTAACCTACATATTGAAAAAATACGACGCCTACGCGATTTAAAAATAAAACCCGCTTATTTTCTGAGAGGCCGAAATATTGATAACCATTAAATTATTGCAACAATATAGCGTAAACAATTTCACGCTTCCCTTCATAATCGTTATCTAGGAAAACTCTCTCATAATTTCGTTTTTAGAATGTATCGAAATTAGTTGATCCTCTGCCAAAATATATATGAATTGGTTACAACTAAAGTGACAGTTGGAGAAAGTAAGCTGGCAATATGTTGCTTTGAAAGAAATATAAATGCTTTGGGAAAGGCGTAGATTTTTAAATGATCATAATCGATTTTAATCGGGTGACATATCCACGAAACGATATATCTGATCTGACTGACAGTAAACCCTTGTCTTTGTCATTTTCAAAATACTATTTTTGAACAGGTAAATGAAATTGCTACAACAAAATCGAAAGAATCTAGTCATAACTGGAAAATTATGACACCACAACCAGTATCTGCGACAGCGATAGTATAGGCTGGACTCATACTCAAAATGTCTTCTTAAAGATCTCGCAGCAATTAAAATGTAAGACAAAGTGTGCGAAAAGAATGTTTACTACTCTATGTGCATGTGTCGATGAAGAAAAATGTAGCAAATCATTGACAGTGTTGATGCCAAACTCATCAAATTTTGGTAATATCAAAGTCATTCACTGGAATCATAGGCAGCAGGTTATGTCATTTGACAACAACATTTGTATTGAAGGTGGGTATTTGTAGTGTTCCAAAAAGAGCATGTTATCCTCCTATGAAGCCACGTGTCCTCTAAAAGAGGTTGATTCAGCTATCAACACATCACTTCGGATCTAGCTCACAGAATTTTGCAATTGTTGCCGACTCCACATCTAAACCAAATAACCACTAACTTACTAACACACTTAGGAATATAATGAAATCATTCGTGATTTGGATTCTTAAAGATCTACTGCTTCACATATAGACTACATCAAAAAGAGGTACAATTCTCATTGAAGAAGGGGACACAGTTGGAGAAATATTCTCCACACAAATCAATTTTGGGTGGACTCATCAATTCGATTGGTACTATAGTTTATCCTCGTTAAACGTTAAACTTTAAACCTTAATGTTCGATAACAGTGGTTACTGTAGCATAGGGAAACCTTGGAGAATTTTTAAAGGAAAACTTATTGTTCGAGTCTTCTATATACCTTAATTCGCCTCCGAAGCTGAACATATTGTTCAGGTTTTTGCTACTTCAGAACCTTGGAGAATTTCTGGAGGAAAACTTATTGTTTGACTACTTCAGAACCTTGGAGAATATTTGGAGGAAAACTTATTGTTGTACTTATTGTTGGAGTCTTCTATATACCTTAATTCGCCTCCGAAGCTGAACATATTGTTCAGGTTCTTGCTACTTCAGAACCTTGGAGAATTTCTGGAGGAAAACTCATTGTTTGAGCTACTTCAGAACCTTGGAGAATTTTTGGAGGAAAACTTATTGTTGAAGTTTTCTATATACCTCAATTCGCTTCCGAAGCTGAACATATTGTTCAGGTTCTTGCTACTTCAGAACCTTGGAGATTTTTTGGAGGAAAACTTATTGTTTGAGCTACTTGAGAACCTTGGGGAATATTTGGAGGAAAACTTATTGTTGGAGTCTTCTATATACCTTAATTCGCCTCCGAAGCTGAACATATTGTTTGCTTGGTTTAATAATGGCTCCTTTCGACTGATCAATCTGACAGATTGGTGGTTTACTCCCATCTGCAGTAGCTTAGAATTTCATACAATACCACGTTTTTGTATAAAAACGGAGAAGTAGGAAGCCAACAGTTTTCTTTTACAAAAATTGATCTCCCCTAAAATTATACCCTTTTCAGTTTAATCAATATAGTATTTACGTTTGCTGAAGTCTTTATCCAGAAATATATGGCTACCTTTCGAAAGAAGGCGCTAAGAGATTAAAAATTCAATTCAGACAGATATGTGAAGTAGGCTGCATGCATAAGGATAGGTGGAGTGTTAAGTACAATTAAATTCTCTGATCACACCATTAAGCCACTTTCAGAACCCAGAAATAAAATCAAACAACCCCAATAATATACCTCATCGCATTCGGCTTCCGTAGGATCATCCGTGATCTCCGACTCCCTCGCAACCGACGACCTGCTGCAGCTGCTAGCTCTGCTAAAGTACTGGAACCCCTTTATCATTATATTCGTGGCACTTCTAGACCGACCGACATTCCTTCCAGAGCTCCTTCGCATTCTCAAGCTATGCTGCTCGTCCTCCTTGTGACCCATGCTCTTCCATTCGTCCATAACATGATCGGTCCTCGAGAGGAAATCCGAGATTTTCGTGGAGAGCGCATTAGAAGCAGTTTGAGCGTCCTCGTGTGCAGGTATTGGAGTGACGTTCTGCCTCAGTTTTCCTTTACAACCCAAAACGAAAGTGAGGTTAGCGTCGAACACGACAGGACTGTCTTCCTTGTCTTCAGAGTCTAGATCCAAGCTGCTCCTCTGGTAAACTTGTGGGAAGACTCTCCTCGGAGGACAGCAGCTGGCGGATCTGGTGGACCTGAAGCTGCTTCCCGATCGCACGCTATAGTTACTGATGGTGGGACTGGGTGACCTTGTGGTGCCCCTCTCCACGGTTCCATCTCTCGAAGGAGGGTCCGATAAGACCGTAAGACCCCTCAGAGGTCTGGTCTGGAACATGACCGGTTTTCTCTCGCTGGGTACATCGAATCCGGCCGAACATGGTTTTTTAACCGCCGCGAACTTTCTGACATGTTGTGACGAGGGCACTGATGGTGGCAAGCCAGGCGAGAACGTTCTTTGAGATGGGGAGGAGTACACGCTGTGTGTGGAGCTGCTTGGCGTTGGGCTGTATCCATTCAGAGTGCTGGATGAGGGGTAGGATTCGAGGTAGGCGTTTACTTTTCTCGTGGTGGACATTGATGGATATAAAGATGTTTGGCCTGGCATTTTATAAGTTTCGGAATATTTTTTCATCAATATTTTCGCAATGTATATGTTATTGTAAAGTAATAAACCCCAAGCTCTGAAGAAAGTAAACGAGGTGTCATCACCGAAGACGATTATGGATACCAACAATCGAAACGTCGTGTAATTTGGTTTGAAATCTTCTTTATTCTTTTTTGTTTATGTCTGATTCCTTTTTACTCTGTGGTCATTTTCATCTGTTATCTGGATTATTTTATTTTACAAATATTGGTTTTATTGTATTTTTATTTCACGATTTATTGCCTAAATATAATTGTTATTTTAGCTACTCATTCTAGTCAAGCAGTTTAAGTTGAACCATGAAACTGCCAAAAAATAACATCAAAAACCGAATGACTTCATCCGCCCCCATTTTCAATAAGAAATCATTTAAAAATACGTTCGTAATGGATATACTTTCAAAATGTATAGTTTTTTCATTATTAAACAATAATTTGACCAAAAACTTTTCCTGAAAATATGGAGCTGAATAAATATATATTCAATTGATGTGACGGTTTACAAAATCTCCAACAACGGTATAAGACTACGGGTTACTGAAGCGTTTTCATACGCTTTTTCTTCGCACAAAAAAGGTATAGTCTATCAATTTCCAATTGGAAATGCAATAAAAATAAGAGCACAGTCATAAACATTTCTTGCCTGAGGCCCCTAGTCGCTCAGATAGTTAGTAAACGTGCTATCAAATGTAGTTGAGGAATAAAGGCTTGGCTAGCTGGACTGGCTGAATACTAATTTTTTGTCCGTTTCACAATATTTCTTTATCAGTGCCGTGTGTTCGTGGGGTTAGGTGAGGTAGTGAGTGGTTTTGCAAACCGATTTTTGAAAACTTTTTCTAGAGACCAATTACCCTAACACCAAACTGATATTTTTGCACTCGACGAGCGTTTCGCTAACAAGGTTAGCATCTTCAGAAGAAGCAAATTGATACTGAATCTAAAAACAAGGGTTAACTGTTCATATACCTGAAGTTTTTGGTCCGATGTGGACTTTGTTTGTTAAATGATGATTATCCTAATTGATTTTTCGGTAATTAACTAGTGGAACCACAACCTGCAAATTAATTTGTCCGCTTTTTAATATATCGTTGACAAATTAATTTGCAAGTAGTGGTTCCACTAGTTAATTACCGAAAAATCAATTACGATAATCATCATTTAACAAACAAAGTCCACTTCGGACCAAAAAACTTTAGGTATATAAACAGCTAACCCTTGTCTACATATTTAGTATCAATTTGCTTCTCCTGAAGATGCTAATCTTCACAGAAAAGCAGATATTGTTGATTTCATGCGAAATCATGACATGGAAATACCCGAAAAGATTCCAACGAAAAAGGTATTACTGGCGACCATAAAACAACGTGGTTTCAAAAATTTCGATATGTGATTGAAATGGTTTGGGCCACAATGAAAGAAAGCTTGCGGAAATGTAATCAGTCACCGACTTTGAATGCTGTAGTGCTTCCTTTGGAAGGAAGAAACATTTGTATGCATTAATGAAGAGAGTCCTTTCAAAAAATGTGACATTGATTTCTTATATTGATTCTTTAATCAACAAAGAGTTATACGATTTTCAAATGAATGCGACGAAAAAAGAAAATGA